TGGTCACTCTTAGACATTTGTTGGTATAATTTGGTATATTTTTGGTATAAATTGGCATTAACTTCCAATGCCAGCAATATAGCAGTATTTCTCCAAACCATATATTTCTTGATCCAAAATCTCTCTTCTGGGAATTTCTCTCACAGAAATGCTTGCATTTTTATGAAATGAACCATGAAAAGTTTATTTCTTACAGCAGTAATTATAATAGCAAAAAGTTAGGAACTATGAACATGTCCATCAATGGGAAACTGGCATGCAATGGAATGTTGCACAGCTGGGAGAGAAAACACAGACATTTTCTCTGTACTAATATGGCAGGTTCTCTAAGAAAAAGAGATAGCCAGATGCAGAGCAGTTTGTATCGAATGCTATCTTGGGTGTAAACAAGAAAATATAAGAATACATTTATATTTTTAAAATTTAATACACACTTGCATAGCACTCACTATGTGTCAGGCACTTTATAAGCATCAGTTGAATTTTTTTAACCTTATGAGTGAGGTACTATTATTATCCCATGTTACATATTAGGATGCCAGGAACAGAGTGGTTAAGTAATTAGTCCAAGATCACACTGCTAGTCAAGTGGAGGAGGCAGAATTTGAACACAGGCCCTCCGGCTCCAAAGTTCCTACTCTTAATCACTCACCATATTAAGCTGATTAATGAGAAGTTAATAAATGGGGAAAGGGAGGAGGGAATGGATGGGAGACCTGGATGAGTTTTTATATTTTTTTGATCTTTGAACCACGTAAATGTAACATATGAAAAACTAAATTAGAAAACACATAAGATTGTGATGCTCAAATAACTCATATTCAGATGTGAGAAGCAGACAGTTCAAGACAAATAATATCGTTATGTTATAGTAAGAGTTTACTGAAATCTTACCCAAAGTTCCCTGATACTTTAGAAGGAGAAGGAACATTTATGTCCTGAGACCAACTCTGTGATCTCTGCCCTGGGGGTGAGAGGCTAAAGCTCTATTCCATTGCAGACCCCTTCTTCTGGAGGGCCAGTACCTGGATGGCAACCCTGGCTGGAACCCTGCCTGTCTTGCTGCTGCTTCTCGCAGGGATGGGTTTCTTCCTCTGGCAAAAGCAGAAGGAGAAACAGGTTCTATCCCAGGAAAAAGAGAGAGAAGAAGCAGAAAAGGATTTAGAACGAAGGGCAAGAGGTATCTGACCAGGAAGGGAACCTATTGCGATGGTTTACGGGAGGGAACCCAAGAACCTGACCCTGCCCAACCCCGCGCATCCACCCCTTCACTGGGTCATTTGTAAGGTTTATGTTCCAGAAGTTCTCCCGGATGGATCCCCATAACAATAATTTTTTTTCCTGTTTATTTTCCAGAGAAGCTACTGGATGAATTCAGTAAGTTCTCATTCCCCCAGGGACCCTGGCATGCCTGGGTATCGCTGCTTTAAGCATCTTAATGACTCTTCACATTTCTTCCATTGCAGAGAAGATAGAGTTCCTACTCATGGCTGGTGAGTGCCTCTGACATTTTCTCTGAATTCACATCTAAGACTCTGTGCTGGGATATTTCCCTGCCTTGTCCTCATCCTTAAATCTGCCCAGGGCTGAGAAATGTCCCTGATCCCTTTAGGGAGGGGAAATAAAAAGGGTTTCTGATTGGGGGGAAGCACAAGGAGTCGTGTGTTTTTAATAGAGAAGAGGGCCCTCAATCTCTCTCCAGGAGGGGCCCACAGACTCTTCAGCCCAGCAAGGCAGCAGGGAATATCCAGGGTGCACTTGAAAGGAAAGGAGGAGGAGAGGGATGGAACTCTCTAGATGAAGGGCCTTCCCTATGCTGGGAACCTCACCAATTGCTTTACATAATCTGTAGGCTGCTGAGAAGAAAACAAAGAAAGTAAGATTTAAAAGTATGAGAAAAACAGAGAAGGGGAAAAAAGTGTATTTTAAAAAAGGAATAGCCACAATGGCTCAGTTGTGGTAGATTTATTGGGACCACTTTTAATAAAAAATAGTATCCGAAATTTCCTTGTTAAGTTGTCCAATTCTTTCAGAAGTTGGCAGGACATAATACACCTTGAGACAGATGGATTCTAGTGCACACACACATACTCGTGTACACACAGTGACACCTGCGCCCAGGTAAGGGAGTGTAGATATATACAGAATAGATCTGCTGGGTCTCAGCAGGGAAAGCACTTACATGGTGCCTGTGGTATCATCAGCATGCAACTGATGTTCTCAGACTTGATATTAAGGATGAGAGAGGAGGACAGTACTGAACAGGCCCAAGGAGAATGTAGTAAGGGTGGGAGTGGAGGTCAAAAGGAAAGATTAGGTAGGTGCAAAAGAAGAGAAAGGACATGACTCAGAAAAGACACAGTTCAGGTGACATCTCTACCTTTCTTCTATTGTAGGTGGAGAGAAGTCTCAGACCTATGGAGGTGAGTGACCCTTATGATCTCTGAGTTTCCTGGCACACGTGTACTAAACATTTAAACCTTTTCTCTGCTGTGTGACCCATTGGCATTCCCAGAAGGAATAATCAGATCTAGTCCAACGGCTCATTTTCTGTGGGAGATACCACCCACACTTTTCTGCAGCCTCAGAGAGAACCTTCCAGACACAGTGTCTGGGCATTTTCTGCCACCCCTCACCGTGCTAGCACACATGCCCACACCCTAGCAAAGCCTGGACATGTCACCTGCAGCCCTAGCATGACTGAAGGAGAGAAGTCCACCATTTTTGAGAGGTTCTTCTATGCCTGATGCAGCAGAGCTGTAGATGAAGGGAGCTGGACATTGGAAGAAACTGATGAAAGGGAGAGAGAAATGGCTTACTGAGGAGAATGGGTAGGGGCAAGAACAGAAATAATGCCCGTTCCTTACCCATGTCTCCTGCCTTTCAGAATCGAAGATGGCCCTCTTCCAAGCTGGTGAGTGAATCACTGTATGTTCTCTAGGACAACAAGCTGAGGGAACACATTCCCTTTTTCTTCTCCAACTCATGAGATTCTGGGAAGAAAAGTCTCCAAGACAGGGTGAGTTCTGGATGGGTGAACTGATGCCCTGGCCTCAAAGATGTGCCCATCTCCCACACAAAGGTGTGCTCATCAGCTCCCGCTGAGAGCCCAGAGAAGCAGAGAGAATTGCTCTCCTGGGATTCCACAGATCTTCACGGGAAGGAAGACGCATAAGTGGTAGAGCTGAGGGAAAGGAGAGGCAGAGCGAACTAATACAGCAGGGAGAGTGAGGATGTGGAATGTTCAAGTAGAGAAGGCAATGAGCAAAGATCTTTGCTTCTCCCAAGCTTCTTATGCCACCTCATGCTGCTGTGTGTCCCCAAGTTACTTAATGTTTCTGAACTTTAGTCACCTCATTTTTAAATGATGATCATAAGCTCTATTATGTGAGAGTTGAGGTAAAGAGTAAATGAGGTAATGAATGTGCTTTGATAAAAAACAATAAAAAAGAGATGATGTTCAAATTGGACAATTGAAGAAATTTCAGGAAGGAGCTCTTTAGAAAGGCAGGAGCAGGGTTAAGGGAAATCAACAAGGGAATGTGAAGTGCCCCATGGCTCACACTAGTGGGAAGCTGTTACCACCCTAGGCTTGAAGGAATACGGAGAGGGAGCTGTTACTGGAGCCCGGAGGAAGCTGTAGCTCAAGGACACGGCTGTCTGAGAGTGGTCATGCCTTTGTTAGAGCATCACCATCTGAGGTGGACAGGGATGAAGCGGGGGAATTAAATGCCGTGTGTCTCTTTTCTTTCTCCTTCCATTCTTCAGCTAGTACCTCCCATTGGCCAAACCCAACAAGTAACCAGAGTCAAGAAAGTCCAGTGATGTTGTCCATAGAGGATACATTCCTGGGGCCCAGAAGAGGGTAGAGAAATTTGGAGAGTGGATCTGGGAGCAGAGAAAAGCCCCCAGCATGGCCTCTAGCACAGAGAAGGCATATGCTATTATGCTACTATAATATCAGGCACTTCTCCATACCCGGCCCTGGGCTGCATAGGAAACACGTGTTGCTTTTTTCTACCCTAGAGATTAGTATTTTTATCCCCATTTTTCAAACAAGGAAATTGAGGCTAAAAGGTATTATGTAAGTTGGGTCTATGGAAAAAGAGACTGCAGGAAAGGAAAAGTTTCTCAGCTCATGGGTGGTAGAACAGGGATTGAAATGTAAATCTATGTGACTATAAAGCACAGGTGGGCAGAGTCATTTTGGGGAGGGAAGTAGGAAAAACAGGGAAGGAAGGAGCCAGCTTGAGATATTGGATTAGGCAGACCCTGACCCTCAGCACTCTACTCTACTGAACACAAGACCCCTGAGCCTTTCTTTTGGTATTGCTGAGGGGGTGACATTCAGGGCAGGCTGGGGACACCAGGCTCTGGAATCAGACCTGCGCAGCCAGACCCAGGTTTTGAAAGCTGAGGCCCTGAGGTCTAGGAACAAAGCTGACTCCACAGCCAATCCTTAAACTTTCTGCAGTTGACATGATTCTGGATCCGGACACAGCACACCCTCAACTTCGTGTTTCTGAGGACCAGAGGAGCCTGTGGCGGGGAATCATACGACGGAATCTGCCACCCAAGCTGAAGAGATTTGATATGCATTACTGTGTTCTTGGCTGCAACAGCTTCATGTCAGGGAGACATTTCTGGGAGGTGGAGGTGGGGGACAGGGAAGAGTGGTATGTCGGGGTGTGTGAGGAGCATGTGGAGAGGAAAAAATGGGTTAAAATGTCACCTGAGAATGGATTCTGGATTCTGGGGCTGTCCACGTCGATAGGCTATCATTCTCTCACTTACTTCAAGACCATCCTGGAAGTTGCCAACCCCCTTCAAAAAGTGGGAGTTTTCTTGGACTATGAGACTGGTGAGGTCTCATTCCACAACGCCATGGATGGATCTCATATCTACACCTTCCCGCACACCTCCTTCTCTGGGCCTGTGTGCCCTGTTTTCAGAATTAAGACACGGGATCTAACTGCCTTGACCATTTGCCCAGTGCAGACAGGAGTGCAGAGTTCTCTTGTTACTGACCTAGTGTCTGACGTTTCCCTGGACACCCCAGTGAACCCAAGCTCTGCTGGTGGGAATGGGGACCCTCAGGCTGAAGTAACATCCTTGCTTTCTCCTGCCCAGCCTGGAGCTGAGGGCCTCCTCCTTAACAGCAACACATCACAACAATAAAATACTAAATGCACACACTTTGTGAAGCACTTCAATAATATTAATTCCATTACTCCACTTGACAGTAGAGTTTGGTACCACTTTATTGTCTCCTTTCTATAGATAAGGAAATGGGGTGTAGAAAATTGAATTAACTTTCCAAGGTGACTTAGCAAGTGAATGACAGCTGGGATTTGAACAACAATAATTAACTCAAAAGATAACGTAAAATGTACTGGGTGCTGTGCTGAATGCTTTTAGTGAATTTCACTCATTTAATCCTCACAACAACACTGTGAGGTAGTCTTCTTTCGATAGTGTGGAAACTGAGGCAGAGCCAGGTTAAGCAAATTATATAATTTACACAGAAATTTGTGCTGCTGCGAGAGGTTTGGCCTCTGTCCCACCCGCACGTCCTAGGCTGTCCTTTTTCTGCCCCATTGCCCCCATGGGGAAGGGACCATGTGCAGCCCTGAGGTTCCTTCCCCAGGGCACCTCAGGATGAGGATCACTGTGAGTGACTATGGAGGCCACACTCCACGTGGTTCCTTCAAGGTCGATTGTCAGAGCCATAGGTCCAGCACTTCATTGGATTGAGTCTTCAGGGGGACATGGTCCAGAGAGTGAATTCACAGGGACTGCATCACACAGGATGTGAAGGGACCAGAGGCCAAACCCTTCACTAATAATGGGCACATGTGCACCCACTCTGTCAATGTGATGCGTGATCATGCAGCCAGAACCAATCCTCCCACTTTGAACGTCTCAGGGAAGCCTAATTTAACATTAAAGATTGTCTGTGGAATAGGAATTTGGGAGGAAGGAAGCTAGATGAACTTGTGGTATTTTTATCACACTGTAGAATCCATCTCCAGGAAAGGGATATTTCCACTCCTGATCATTCACTGATGATAACGGATGTTTCTTTCAATTGATGGATACAGGGAAAGGCTACTCTTTATTAGCATCACTATTATTGTTCACCACTGTCTCCCCTCTACCTGGCATGTGGTTGTCAAGTTACATTTGTTCAATAAATTTGTTAATAGTCTTTAGTCTTCCACTGAACTTTTTCTAGATTTTAAGCCCCCACAGTTTACTCACCACAGTTTCACAGTTTACTTCATTGCAACATTTTCACAAAATCCTTAGTTTATTAGTTTTCTATTGCTGCCATAATAAATTATTTCAAATTTTAGGACCTAAAACAAGATAAATTTTTTATCTCACATTTCTGTAGGTCAGAAGTCCCACATGGGTCTCACCGAGCTAAAATCAAGGT